TTGTCTTGTGAGGCTGTCACCATTGACATCTTGCAGGCGGGAGTTTGCGACGTCGAGACGTTTTGGGTTCAAGGTTTGCAGCAAAGTAAGTCCCTAGACCCGTAAACCCTTACTTGGAGGCGGTGGGGGGGGGGGCCACAAGTACGGTAAGTAGAGTTAGAGCCATTAGGAGACTCATAACCCCACTTGTAGCTACCCATGAACCTCCAAGTAGGGTGAGGCCATGGCATTCAATTTGGTCAAGGTCTGCGGCACCTCAGGAGTCTGCAAGGATCTACCTTCGAAGTCATTTTTGTCATGCCAGAATACAAGGTATATTTATTTGGGTACGTATATATAATCAAGGGATTATTTAAACTAAATGAGTGTATAAATGTATATATGCATCTATGGATGTATGTGTGTATGTATTTGCGTAAGGTTGTATATATGTGTGTGTGTATATCTATATATATATATATATATATATACATATAATCCAATGCCGAGTAATCCAAGGACTAACTGCCCAAATGAGTATACTGCGCATGGGTCTAATAGGCTTATAGACACCCCAAGCGAACAGCGACCTGAAGTCACTGCCGAGGACGAGGCCTGCATTGATCGTAATCGTGCTTCCCACTCCAGCCCCAAACTCTAAATCCCACCTGCAGCGCAAAAGGCTTACCTTCTCAAGGAACTATATAGACAAACCACAGTACCGAACGCTGGAAAGATAGGGTGTTTTCAACTCTAAGAAGCTGAGCTTGTGGGCTTTTCAGTTACAGGCGATGAAAGCTTTGAGGGAACGTTGGCAGGCTCAAGGTCGGGTCTGGGTTTCTCGATGCTGTGTGTCATAAGATGTGTCTGCGTACTTATACAGTGTGTATATATATATATATATGTATGCATGCATGCATGCATGTATGTACGTATGTATGTGTGTATTTGTTTGTTGGTTTGTTTATCTAATATAGATTAAGGGAGTGTATAGTAAGCGTGTATATGAAAACATATATATATATATATATATATATATGTATGTGTGTATCCTTATCTGGCTGTTTAACCCTGCATCAGACAAAAACCCGAAGCTCAAAGAAGAGGGATGCCCTCTGCTACCTGCGCCTTGTTCCTGACTGAAATCGAGGAAAAGAATTTGGAAGACACTCGCATCAGGACGCATCCTGGCAGCAAACCCAGTTGTCTCTGTCGTAGAGTTACATGGTCCAACCTTTCAACGTCGACAGCGCCCAGTTTGCTGTCTAGAATTTAGCAGAGCCTGATGAATATGGTGGTTGACTCGCCTGTCGGGTCAAACATCGAACTCCTGCTGCAGAGGAGACTTCTCCAGCCGTGAGCCTTACTACAGGGGTGTAAACAACTACCAGCACTATTTGCACGGTTCCTTATCATAAGTATAGTATCGTCGGCCCCAAAAACCCTGTTCGAATTATTAAGGCTCCTACAGCATAGTACCCGTTATAGTAGCCCTTACAGTAGCCCTTACAGTAGCCCTTAGAGGACCCTTCAGAGGAACCCTTTTCTAATGATTAACAGCTAGTGCGACACCCCAGGCCCCACAGTTTGACAGCAGACCCTTCGGAGGCTGTCAGCTACATCCATAGTCACGTCACAAGTCCGAAAATGAATAGAAGCATAAAATGCTTTCACACGGTTGCACATTCTCACGACCCGGTCGTATGAAATCACATCCATAATCACGTCCATGTGTGCACGCACATGCGCACAGTTGCTGATTTACGTTTACGAGATATTCGGGGCCTTGTGGATGGAGCTCGATTAAATCTGACTCCAAGTATCGAGGCAGACAAAGCTTTGTGCTGCACCGGAAAGAAATCCCGACAGAAGCCTTTGACTGATCTGAAACCCAAACGCAAGCCTTTAGCCAGTAGGCCGTTGCCGGAAGCCGAGGGCTTTTGATGAGTTGGAAGACTACTTCCACCTGCCCCGACATGCATTGGAGAGCCGCAAGGAAGAAGTGACGCTGTGGCCGCATTGCCGGGCTTCAGGCATCTAGATTTTTGGGCGAGTGCTGTAGGCTTCAGAGCACTTGGCGCTGGAAGGTTTGCACAGCAAGCAATTGGCTTCAAGCTTCCGCAGCCTAGGCCGTCTCACACCGTCAGTGGCTGATAGATACCGCGGGTCTCGTTTATGTCGTAGGTCAGTCCTTCCTTAAACCCCCCAAAAAGGTCCGAAACTCCTAAGCTCAGGACTCTACCCACCGGAATCTATAAAGTACCTATAGTCTCCATTGTAGTTCTTTTTTTTGGTTAACCACAAACTATATTATAGGATCCTAACCATAAAGACAATAAAATGGAACTACAATGGAGACTATAAGTAACCCTGGGTCTACAAAACCAACACCCAGGGGGCCTTGCGCCCGCAGCTCCAAACCCCAAAGCCCCAACAGTCGGCTTTACCCCTAAACCCTAAACCCCCTCATGTACCCAAATCGTTCACTTTTTGGCCGCCAAGCAGTCACGATATGGGTACCCTGGGCCCAAAGACCAAAATATATGCTATTTGGGTACGTGGACCCTTAGGGTTGTGGTGTTAAGCCGTAACGAAGCAAGCTGCATACCCTACGTAAACCCTAAACCCTAAACTGGCCCTAAAGCCTTTCACCCCGGCTTCGCGAGGCTTAACATCTTCCGGGAGGTCCGTTCCTGGCGTGGGTTTATATGGTGTTTTTGGGACTTAGGGTTCAGGTTTTAGGGTTTTGTTAGGTCTTTCTGTAGGAGTCGATCGGAGTTCGTTACGTTCACAATTGCCTTATTCGATGTAGGGTTGCGCTGGTCGGGTTTTCGAGTTGCGGGTTTCGGTCTTGCATGAAGGCTTTCCCGGTCTGGTGCGAGAGACAGAGTTCGGATTTCAGAAGGAGCACGTGCACTGACGTATACATGTATGCATGCATATGAATATACGTGTACATAGTCGTGTTCATATATACATAGACATGCACATACAGATCTACATCTACATGTACAGACACATAAACATAGACATAGACATGTACATAGAGACATACATGTGCATATACATGTATTTATGTACGTAGGTATGTATGAACGTATGCATGTATGTATGTATGTATGTATGTATGTGTGTACGTTCGTATCTTTGTATATACTTCAGTATATGTATGTGCGGATGGGTGGATGTTTGTATGTATCGGTGCATGTGCGTGTGTGTATGTATGTATGTACCTGTATGCATGCAGGTACGTTTGTATGTAAGCAAGTAAGTAAGTAAGTATGTATGTATGTATGTATGTACATTTGCATAAACTTGCGGTCTAAACCAGCGAGGATTTACGTCTACGTCTTTTGGGTTCAGTACGGTACACGATATATTTACATATATACATATATATATATACACAGATGTTTTTAGTTATTCATTTACACATGTGTGTACATGCATATGAACGACTAAGAATAACCATATGTGTATTCGCTCAGTGACAGGTGTCCTTCCAGATTTGAGTCTAAGGGTTTTTGTAGGCAAAACCTTTTCTGCTATTTCGGGTGTTTATTTTTCCAAGTCCTGAAGCATAGAACCTCTAAGCAGGCTTTAGGGTACACGTCTGCCTGGATGTTGCATGTTGTTAGTTGGTTTGGAGCATCGAGCTCCCCAAACCCAAATCATCGCGACACCCTAAACCCGCAGCCCAGATCTAGATCCTAGCACCACGTAAAGCCTGAAGGTCATAAACCATCCTAGAACCCAACACTTCAACTCCCTCCCGTAGGGTGATGGATTTTTTTTGAGGGGGGGAGGTGATATTCTGCGGTTGATGGTATAAATCCTGCATTAAACTCTAAATTATGCAAGTAATGGTATATTCCTCACTATGGGTACTGCATATTTATATCATCAACCGTAGTATAGCAATCAGAAGCAAGGGCAATGATATTGGTAGCTATATATGTAACTATTCAGGTTTCCATACCAACTGTCAACCGCACACCCGCCCTACCACTCTCTTCTTATCAGGCTTTTCGCCATATGCGGCCGACAAAGAGCAAGAACAGCCTAGCCGGTAAGCATGCCTACAGATGTTCAGGATTGTCTTTCGGGTGCTGGGGGATGAAACTCGTGCATGAACAGGACATGTGGGTAGTTGTCAACATTACGGCCCCTTTTTGGGTACCCTAAAAAATATGCGGTGCCGTATTATAATAAGGACCCGAAAAGGGACCACGATTTTGACAACCACCCATGTGCCAAAGAGTCTTGCCAAAGAGTCATGAATCCCGAATCCTCTAGTCCGAAAACCCTCAGCTGCTATTCTAAAGCCCAACCTACATCCCAAACTGTGGCACGGGGAGGCAAGCCTTAAACCCTAAACCCTAAACCCTAAAACCCTAAACCCTAAAACGGGGAGGCCATAACATACCTCACGCACGGCGACGATTCTCCCGACATTCCCAGCCGGAGCCCTGGGTTGCACCCACTCCTTACAGGGTTTCAACCCAAATCCAGCAAATCCCAAACTCAAGCTCTTTTGAACCGCGTTCAATATCGTAATTCTCAGCCCGAACACCCTCCTCGAACACCCTCCAACACCTCGGAATAGAGATTTCGGGACTGATCCAAGTTGTGTGAAAGGCCTCACACGTATATTTTTTGAAGATTGCTATCCCATGTAGGACGACGCGAGTATTTGATGATGGTCATGGCGATGTTGATTTGTTCTCAAGATTTGCCAGTGTTGTGTTTTGATTGTTGAGGATACCATGTTAAGAACGAAACCATCTCAACGGACCCATTGTTGTTCTTATTGCCAACATGATTCCGACTGACCTTAGTATTGCCTGTACTACTGGTAACTACTCATATCGAACTATCTCCGTCATATTGTTCTTTGTTGTTCTTACGTGTTTGCATTGGCAACGCGCTCGTTAGTACCATTATTGATGTTTGCTTTCTGGAGGCGCAGTTGCTCAAAGGTGCCAGGGTTCAGCTTGTAGAGACCTCTTTTCCTCGACCAAATGGCGGACAATCCCGTTTGGAAGGCATGTGCCGCGGCTGCCAGATGTTAAGAGGTTTTGGAAGTTTAAGGCCTTGTTGCCGAGTTTAGGAGTTGTAAGACTACAGGCTTGAAACCTCAAGTTTAACGCTCAAGGTCCAAGGTGGAGGGGGTGTTGAGTTCAGCAAAAGTGCACAATTATATTCAATAGTCGAAATATGTCGAAATGTTCCGACTCTGCGCCCCGAGGCCCTTGGCTATCCATCTCTTGCAGACCATCTTCTGAAGTCCCAAACCCTAAAGTCTAAATCCTAAGTCCCAAATCTTAACGAAATCATGAATCCGAATCTTCAGTCATCATACCTGGCGCTGCAGAACCCGAAAGAGACCCCGAAGCCTTTCGGATGGAGGTTCTCAAGCCGTATGATAATTATAAACCCCTACGCCTAAATCCTAAACCCTCCACACTCAAGCCTAAATCCTAAGCCACCCCAAGGCACCGAAGCAGCGAACCCTGTGTGTTGGGGCAGTCGCAGGATTCAGGCTTCGGGGTTTATGTAGGGCTTTACTGTTTACTGGTTTTGAGCTTAGGGCTTCACTTTAGGGTTTAGGGTTTAGGGTTCAGGGTTATCGGTTTAGGGTTTAGGGTTTAGGGTTTAGGGTTTTCTCAGGGTTTATGTAGGGCTCTGCTGGTGTTGAGCATACGGATTCACTTTAGAGTTTAGGGTTTCGGGCTTAGGACTTTAGGACTTTAGGGTTTAGCGCTACTTCAGGGGTTTATGTGGGGCTAGGGCTTCGAGTCTACTGCTTCACAGACCAGGGTTTCACCTTTTCCTTAGATCTCGGCCTGCAGGGTTTATGAGCGTAAAGGCATAACCTACTGAGAAATACCAATACTATTTGTTGGGGGGGTTAGCTTTTTACAGTCTAATATACCCTGAAAACCTATTCTACACATCAAGGCCCCTATATTATACCCTTATGGTATCACTTATAGAACCCTTGAAGGATCCCTTTAAAGGAACCCGTATCTATTCAGCACTTTACAAAACGTCCGAGGCAAGCCCTTCGCTACTGGCTCCCTTGCTGGAATGCTACCTGGCGATGTAGCACTAACCAGTTAATACAGGATTTAGGGTTGTGGGTTTAGATAGCTTTAGTTCGAGTTTACGGTACAAGGTTTAGGGTTTAGGTAGCTTTAAGTAGGGTCTAGGGTTTAGATTTTAGGGTTTAGGCAGTTTTAATGCAGGGTCTGAAGAATTGGTACCACCAGTCCCTCAGAGTCCTGATATATTAGCATTAGTCGCCCGGTATTTTCCTTATAGAACTACTAGAACTACCGTACCGAGAGACTCCAATAGCCCTTAATTAAGGAATATACCTTAAACCAAAAAAGGGATCCTACTATGACTTAAGGTATATTCCTTAATTAAGGGATAATGGAGTCTCTCGGAATGCTATCACTCAGCCCGGAACCCGGGCTCAGCATCAAAGTTTCCCCAATGGTCCAAGTAGCTAGTAATCATGCACTCTCCCAAACATCAGACAACATAGCTAATTACTATCCTAAACCCAAGTCCCTTGTTACTAAACCCTAAACCCTATAAACCCTAACCCTATAAACCCTAAACCCTATAGACCCTAAACCCATTGGGTTTAGGGTTCAGGGTCCTTTGGACCCTTGGGGATTGAACAACTTCACTGCAGCAATCACCAGCTTTCCGTTCGGATTGAGTATAGGGTGTATAGGGTTTACGTTGACCCGTGTCATGGCGAATTTGGCATGCATGATCAGTGGACACACTCGCACACACATACACACCTCCTCGAGGTTTGCGACCTGCTGCATTCAGCCGATTGACATGGTGAAGGTCCGTATCCAGCTGACTGCTGGCACCGCCGAGGCCGAAACTGCTCCTGTGTTCTTTTGGTTCTTAAGGTTCCAATGCCGTCAGCTAGTCTGCCCATAATCGTAGTTCTACATTCACTTAGATCTATGTGTATACTGCATGTGTATGTATGTATGCATGCATATATATATATATATATATATACATATTCGTTTAGTAATATATGTGTATTTATAGTTATTTGTTTGTGTACCAAAGCCCTGCAGTACCTGAATCGGGTTTACTTTCTACCATATTGGTACATGAACCCCTCGGGACATGTTCTTAGGACTTCTACTTGGGGGTTATCCGGCATCTGCTTTGGGGTTTAGGGTTTGGGATAGTGCCTATGCTTTGGGGCACCCTCCCTCACCACGGGAACAGCGTCTGAGAATTCAAATTTCGTGTCGTTCCATCTGAACCGAATTTCCTGTTGTTTGACCCATTACCTCGCGCATATTGGGGGTTTCCGAAAATAGTGGACCCTAGTATAGTAGCCTAAATAGTAGGATCCTTAATATAACGACCCCAAATAGGTAACCCCCAATTTCGGAAACTCCCATTATCCTCTGTTCGGCTTGGGGCTTGCAAGCTTGAGTGTCTGTGTAGCCCCATAACATGTAAGATATCGCAGGTGTGTGAGTCTGCAAAATTTTGGCCAACGTCAGGCATAGGGTAGTATATAGTCTGTATAGAGCATGTCGGACCTAAAACTGTGTGCAGGCAGCTGGGCCAGTCACCATCGTCCCCGACTCAGCCTTTGCAAGCGCGAAGCACAGGCGTGTAGGTTGCGCCGAGACGCTCAACTCTTTCTCCTTGGTTGGGTTGCCGTGTTTCCCTATCATAGGATCTAACCTGTTCGACAACATCGCCGGAACTGAATGAAGGACTTTATGCGTGACCTGGGTTTGTAGTTGTTGAGCTAGCTGTTGTCGGAGGTATGTAGGAAGTCTGGATTATGCTGCAGGTGTTGGTTTAAGTTTCGGGATGAACTAGGGCTGGTTGAATGTGTAATGCTGGCAAACGTGCTGTGAATGTCCATGCCAGACGGTCTAGATGGCAGTTTCTTCCTGGAAACATGTCGCAGTTGCACCCAAGACCTCCTCTGAAACACGTGGATGCTCCTGCTAGACCTCAGGGTTGTGCAAGCATCTGGTCAAGTGTGCGAAAGTGCAGCCTCATGACCTGAACCAGACCCGTAACAGATCCTCGGGTTTAGATGCGAAGCCTTGATTAACGATTAACTGGCTGCTGGAGTCTGCCGGAAAACATTTGACTTTCCCCCTACTCTTTAAACCCACAGCACCTAACCCTCAAAATCCTCCATAAACGCGAAGCACCTAAACCCCAAACCCTGAAATCCCGAACTAAACCCTACAGTCTTCCCCCCCTTAACTCCTAAACCCCTGTTGCCCTGCTCTTTAGGCGGGGAACATGCTCAAGAACGAGGGCGTTGCGGCCTTCTATACCGGCCTTACCGCTGGTTTGACGCGCCAGGCCGTCGCTGTGAGGGGTTGATTTGAGTTGAGTTTTCCTCTTAGGGTTTTGGGGTTTAGGGTTTAGGGGTTTAGGGTTTAGGATTTAGGGTTTAGGGGTTTAGGATTTAGGGTTTAGGGGTTTAGGGTTTAGGGGTTTAGGGTTTCGGGTTCCTGCAAGGGCTCCCTTGAAGGATTCCTTCAAGGATTCCTTTCAGGAATCCTGTAAAGGTTCCTGTGACGCTCCATAAGGATTCCTTTCTGGCCTTCTGTGAAGGAGCCCTTCAAAGAATCCAACAAGTCCCTTAGAGGATCTGCCCAAAGCAGCCCTTAGGGGCTTGTTAAGGGCACTCTGGGGTGTTGGGGTTTACGCTGCAGTTTAGGATAGAAAGCTTGGACTTGAGAAGGGCTTCAGAAGTGTATATAACAGCAGGTATAGTACACGCGTAGTTTTTCTTAACAAGCGTTCGATAAGTTTGTTTGGCTTTTCCGTAATCAGGACGTTTAATGAGGGTACTCTGAAGAAGGTTTGCTCATCGTGGCTTCGGAAGGGACTCATCAAGATGACAAAGGGGTCTTGTAGTCCCATAGGGCCCTAGCCTATGCCTGCTCTTCCCCGATGTGGCTCCATGTGTGGAGCTTCCCGACTATATGCTTGGGATGTCATACTAAAGAAACCAGGTAGCAAGCAAACAAACTACATGCAGAGTAGAGGTATTACAGGCCTTCAGCAGTGCTGCTGGGGAAGGAGGCCTCGGGGTGCTATTTCTGGGGTTAACGGGTTCAATCGTGTTAGGCTTCAGGCTGTTAGGGCTTAATGGCTTTATGGTGTAAGAGTGTTGGGCTCTAGGGTTTAGGGCCCCGAAAAACCCGAACCCTAGGCTCTAAACCTTCAAAAATCGGATGCCAACAGAACCCTAAAGCCAGAAAGCCCTAAACCCTCGGAACCTTTCTGGAATCTGGAACCTTGTCAGAAGCCCACACGGAATTTGTTGAGCATTGCATCCGAATGCTCGGATCAGGTAGCGGAATATGTGGCATGAGTCATTAGTGTCCCTTGATGTTGCATACATAAATACGTACGTACCTACGTACAACAGACATACACCCACACATATAATTATGTATATGTATGCGTTTTTTCATTTGTCAGATACTCCAAAGCCTCTTCTAGTCTCCAAGGTGTGTGTATCTAAGCCTACAAAGCCGTCATGCAACCCTGTAAGCCCTCACGAAGCCCCGTTGTGCTGATTGAAGCCCCTCGACCACCCTAAATCCTAAACCCTAAACCCTAAATCCAGAACCCTAAACCTTAAATCCTCAACCCTAAACCCTAAACCCTAAATCCTAAACCCTAAACCCTAAATCCTACGCCATAAACCCTAAACCTTAAATCCTAAACCCTAAATCCTACGCCCTAAACCCTAAACCCTAAATCTTAAACCCCCACCTCCAACCCCAGAGCAGGTTGTTTACACCGGAGCCCGACTGGGTCTCTTTGATAAGTTCACCGGTATGGCCTTGCACTCAGGGGCTCCAGCTTACGCTTTTGATTAAAGGACTATGAGTGGTGCTAGTCTTGGCAGTACCAGTTGTTTTACTTAAGTGCTACTAGTGTCATTATTGTTGCTGCTATTCTTGTTCTTGTTGTTGCTGCTGTTGCTGTCGTGCTGGTGGTGTGGTGCTGTTGCTGTGGTGCTGTTGCTGTTGCTGTTTCTATTGCTGCTGTTGTTGCTGTCGTCGTCGTCGTCCTCGATGTTGTAGTCGTCGTCATACACTATCTTTTTCGTTATGACTATCTTGACGATCGTTATCGGTTACGCACAGGATTGCTAACACTGCAAACATAAGCAGCATATAGCAGTATCCGTATCAACATTAGCATTACCATTTTCGCTTGTGCCTTCGACACACAGTTGTGTCGGGAGCGGCTTAGGTACTTTATATCGGTACTCAGCAGGATGAGGGTTCAAGAGCCTGGCGTGCAGAACTTCTACTTGGTAGCTGAGTGGATGCACTTTACACTTGTTGGGATAATATTACCCACTGTAGAACTGAAAGTGTATACGGTTTGGGGCTTATGAACTCAGCAACTAAGTCGATGTTGGGACCCAAACTGTATCCAGTGTTTGTGACCTGGTATAGAAACAGATGGGTCTCGATGAGCGTAGTAGCCTCAAGGCAATCTTGGAAGTGTCCGTGAGGCTCTACAGGACATGCACAGTTGTGGCAGAGTCGAAGCTGCGATAGGTGTATCAAAGGGGAACAGGAGGGACCCTTAATGGGGACCCCTACCCTATAATGGGCTATAATATAATGGGTATATAATAGCTATATTGAGGGTATATACCCAGGGGTCCTTATTAAGGGTCCCTCCTTTTACCCTTGGAGTGTAGGTTTACGGCCTTTGTTGGCTGCAGCGCAGGTCCACCCTTGCCGTTTCGGCTCCCCGCAGTGAACCCCAAAGCCATGTGCCTCAAAACCGTTTGACACCCTCTGCCCGGAAAGCCCAGTACTCTTCGAGCAAAACATGAACGTCAACGAGTGTCTCCTAAATTCTGTTCGGAATGTTTTGCCCCCAGTCTAGTAGGCTTGTGATACCTGAGACTGTTTGGCGACTGGTGACTCTGGGTTTGGGGTTCAACAGCTCTGGGACAGAAATCTGAGAGGAATTTCAGGGTGTTTAGGGCTTAGGGTTTTGGGCCTTGAGAACTGGAAGGTCAAGCAGCCGGGCAAGCAGCTGAGCTTCGCTGAGAACGCAGGCTCAGAAGTGCCCACACCTTGAGGGTCTAGGGCTTGCATCAGCAGCCGTGCTCGAAACCGGTTATCCATGATGGGTACTTCTTCCGGTCCTTGTAGGTTTTGGCTTTGTTCGGCTCAAAAAAAATCCTACCTTTACGCGAGTAGCCCTGTATGGGGCAGGCGACTCAGTCTGCACCACGAGGCCCACTATTCTCACCATAAGGCTAAGGTCCTGGTTCAAAAGCTCGGACCAAGCCCACCCTAAAACTACCATAACCACTTTTACGTAGGTCCTTACTACACGTTCGAAACCCTTAGGCCCTTATCTAGAATTCGTAGGGACCCTACAAAAAGGCAGGTTCGTGTTGAACCCTAAGCCCCGAAGTCTACTTCACAACAGCCTGGAACTGTCGCAGTCCACTTGGGGATCCAAAGAACATTGCTTTACGGGTAATGATTTAGGGTTTAGGCCTTAGGCCTAAAACTCAGGTGTCACAACCTGCTGTTATGGAGGGTTTGGTGTGTCAGGAAAGCATACAGCTCCGGCTAAGGGTATATGGCTTGGGATTTATAGGGTTTAGGATTTAAGGTTTAGGTTTACGGCTTAGGGCTTATACCCCAGGGTCTGGGGTATAGGGCTCAGGGGTTAAGGAACTTCCTATGGATGCGGAGTAGCGATCCTCTATTGAGGGTATCTTTGCGGGTGGGCGGGGCAGTAATACCGAGCCTTGCATCCACCATCTGAAACCCCGAGACCGAAGTCCCAGGTTCGCTGGCAACCCTCTGTACGTTTACAGGAATGCTATAACGTATACAAACCCAAAGGGTTTAAGTAATAGTATGGTATATACTTTGGGGCCCAAATACCTACGAAGTACCTACTATGATGGTACTTGGAACCTTTGGGAAACAGCCGCATTTGCGCAGCATCTACGAAAGTCCACTTTTTCTGTGCTTCTATCTCGGACCGCTTCAATGTTAGAACGCGTCAATGTCGAAACCTTACACCAGCAATGATAACCCCTAAACACGTCGAACCCCAAAGCCCCCAAACTGACAACCCTACACCCGACAATCTAAACCATGAAACACAAAGCCCTTTGACCTAACGTCTCTGCGATTGGGAAGGTTGCGCTTTGTCTGCTGGTGGTCTGGCGGCCCTCGTTGGACCCTCTCACTTTGCTTTGTAAGGTTGGGGTGTTTCTAAGCTCGGGCTTACGTTTGTTAGCTTCAATAACGGCTTACTACCCCGACGGTCCAAGTAGCTCATAGTCATGTACTCTCCAAATATGAGCCTACATAGCTACTACCCTAAGCCCAAGTACCTTATCGTTGGGTCCTTTGGACCCTTGGTGTCATATCCAGACTAGAACGAGACCCCAGAAGCTTACTGTAGAGGCCTTAATAATTAGAACAAGGTTTGGGGGAGATTATACTATAATAATCATAGTAATAATAATAATGAGGGGCCCCCAAAACCGTATTCTGATTATTAATGCCCCTACATGAAGCAGAAGCGAAGTTTCGGAGACGCCCGAAACATGTGTTTTGTGCTTGTTGGGTACAAACAGCATTCATTTGTTGAGGTTGCCTTTTCTGCAGTCTTTCAGAATGCACTTCTGGCCTCGAGCTTGTGAGGAAATAGGAGCCTTAACAACCAGAGTGTACTAGAATACTAGAACAGTATTCCTCAGGTTTCCATACTTTTACTTATTGTGACTAGAGTATATCATATGCCCCAACATCACAAGTTTCCAATCAGAGAGCTGCTTTCGGGTTCATCAGCAACAGGGTTCAGCACACCTCGCCGCCTACTTTCCCCATTGATCCCCCCCCCTCCCCAACTGTAAACCGACAACGTCGGTTTGGAGGTGAGGGCTCACTTGCGAATCCGGATCCCTATTGTTTTAAGGGTTCAACCTTCTAATTGACGGGGACTAACCTGCGATTTTGTAGGGTTCACCTGGACCTTGAAGAACCTAGCTTTTTGAGGACTTATCCCTATGAGCCCTAAACCAGATATAAGGAAATTCTGCATAAGATCCCCAGATCGGAAGATTTGGAGGGTCCAGGTAGGGTTCAAACCCGTGGCCGTCGAACCTAAAGACCCAAGTCAAAGAACTCACTCGCCGATCTGAGCTTGCAAGCGGTTTAAAGCCACCACTTGGAGGTTTATGGGTAGTTATAATCAGGGTTGTAAGTAGGGTAACTATACTTATAACCCAAATTAAGGGACTTATAACCCCACTTATGACTACCCATGAACCTCCAACCAGTGACAAGGACTTTTCCATCACTAACTTTGCAATTCCCAAAGTCAGAAATCCCGAACCGTCCCCAAAGATCCTTCCTTCTCGAAGGAAACCCGGCGGACCTTGCACTCATCCGAATGCAGGCTATTGGTGGGTTTTGGAAGGGGTTGAGGGTTTAGGGGTTTGGGGTTTGGAGTTTATAGGGTTTTGAGTTAGGGGTTTAGGGCATTAGTCCTCAATTCCTGCAACCTTGAAACATGATGTTGTGCGGCCCGGAAGCATTCGCTCAAGCCTTGCTTCAGAGTTTGAGAGGTTTAGGCTTAAGGACCGTTGAAGGTTTAGAGGCTTTGTGGTTTCCGGCTTATAGCATGGGGTACAGGACCTCACCTTGCGTGGAGTACAGCCGCCTAAGCTCCGAGACAGACGGTTGTTCGATGGATCCCTGTAAAACAGCAGATGAGCTCGTTAAAAGTTAATTAGTTGATTGGCAGCCCACATGAGGTTTCGGGCAGCTTCCGGGCAGGGAGCATTCAGGCAAGTTTAGGCACGGAGTAGTTCAGCAGTTTGGGTGGATGATGTTTGGTGACTCTAGCTACTTTCTTTTAAGCATTCAATTCAATAAGTCCTGGGTTGATGGATACAGGATCACCGCTTCCCTCGTTGAGATCATGCTTCCCTTCAGTGTCGGGCTGTACTGACTCCTCATTAGGGTGTAGGGTCTAACGATAACCTTATAAGTCTAAAGCAAACCCTAAACCCTGAACCCCTAAACCCTGAGCCCCTAAACCTTAAACCCCTAAACCCTAAAGCGAAGCCTGTGGCAAATCTCAGTTGTCCGTTAATCTGCTCTCCCGATTTGGCCAGGGATGGTGCTGTAGAAAGACATAGTTACCAATACTATTCCTTAGGGTTCCTAACGATCTGGGGTTTCCGAATATAGGGGACCCTTTTTCTAGTACCCTACATAGTGGGATCCTGATTTATAGGGACCGTCAAAATAAGGTACCCCCAAATTTTCGGAACTCCCATATCAAGAAATTGCATGAAAAGCTCTGTCTACTTGGAGGTTCATGGTAGTTATAAGTAGGGTAACTATACTTATCATCCATATTAGGGGACTCATGACCCCACTTAGAGCTACCCATGAATCTATAAGTAGTTATGAAGGCCCTGCCTCTGAGGCTTATCTGGTGTGGCCGACAGGCCAAGATGAAACCGAAAGCCATTCAATTCCAAGTGGCCCAAGCCGTACACCGTGGGCTGTAGCCGGATCCCTCGAAATCGGGCTCAGGGGGTTTAGGGTTAGGAATTAAATTAGGGGCTAGGAACAAGCCCCTCAACCCAAAACTCTGCATGGCAAAGCCACGTTCGTGTCGGAGGCGGACAGCATGAAGCCTGCCGCCGAGCGATCCGGCTACACCAACGTCTTCACTACCATGGGGACCCTTGGGCACGACATACAGGGTTTAGGAGCTTAGGAATTTTAGGGTTTAGGGTTTAGTCCAAGGGTAAAAGGAGGGACCCTCAAAAAAGGACCCCTAGGTATATACCCTTAATATAGCTATCATATACCCATTATACAGCCCATTATAGGGTAGGGGTCCCCATTAAGGGTCCCTCCTTTTCCTCTTTGGTTTAGGGATCCGAGGACACTACTTAAAGGGTTCCGGGTTCGGGAGTTTAGGGTCCCGGAGGCCCGGAACTGCCGGAGAAGATGACAACAGAAGCACTACTTACCTGTGGTTAGTAGGGAATGGAGGAATGGGGCACAATTATAGCTACTATTACTACCTACCATTCTTCCATTCCCTACTAACCAAAGGTAAGACTATGCCCTGCACCTTGCACGAACGCAAAGCCCAAAGTCTAAACAATCTGAGACGCCATAAACAGCAAACCTACATCCTGGACGAGTATCCGAGTATCTATCGAGCTCGCGAGTACTAAGGAAGATCGTCGCCGCGGAAGGCCCGGCATGAGGGAGTTGATTTGGTCGCAAGGCTTTATATACCAGAAGTGCACCTGCAGTCTCTCGTCTGTATGGGAAGACACGGAAATAATCGACCATAATAGAGTCTATATATACTATATAGTACTTTATCTACTAGAAATGCACCTGCAGTCTCCATTGTGGTTCTTTTCTGGGTTTGCCTTGTAGGATCCACAAGGTTTGAGGGTCAAGGTGATCTAGCAGTGCCGGATCTCGGCTCAAATTCGTTTGGCACGTATGGGATGACACGGAAATAAGCTACCATAATAGAGTGTAATACTATATAGTACACTACAGTAGTAGTATAAATAAGAGTATGATGTAGAATAGTAAAACAAAAACTGCTATACGATGCGAAATAGCGTTGAGATTCCCTTCCATCATCTCTGGCCTAGCAAACCGTGACTTGCCGTTGGCACTGTAAGCTCCAACACGAAGGCAAACCCCTTAAAATGCCCCTAGGGGCAACATCGCAAAGCCACAGAGCAGCCAATAAGAAACAAAAACTGATATATTAAGCCTTCCAAAAATCACAAGCCCTGATTGCTAGGTTTCAGCTTGGGGTTCCTAAAGCTCCATGTATCTATATACCTATAGGCAGGCCTTAAAGTGGTCCTTATATACGTGTGCATATATATATATATGTATAAATATCTATCTATCTACCTGTATATACATATAGAAAGAGACAGAGCGAGCGAGAGAGAGAGAGAGAGAGAGAGAGACATACAGAGATTGGGTTCTTTTCTGTCTATATACCTATCTGTCTATTTGTATGTGTATATATATATATAGAGAGAGATACAGAGATTGGGTTCTTGTCTGTCTATATATATATATATATCTGTCTCTCTGTATGTGTGTATAGAGAGAGAGAGAGAGAGAGAGAGAGAGAGAGAGAGAGAGAGAGAGAGAGAGAGAGAGAGAGAGAGAGAGAGAGAGAGAGAGAGAGAGAGAGCGGGGCACTTGAAGGTTGAGGTTTCTTTATGTCAGGCCCTGGCGGCCTCTTGGCTGGAGCCGTGCCCACGGCCACTCGCGCCATGGCGCTGCACCGCGGCCGGATTTGGGAATTTCCGAAAATAGGGGACCCTAATATAGTACCCTAAATAGTAGGATCCTTATTATATGGTCCCCCCAAATATGGTACCCCTAATTTCGGAAATTCCCACTTAGGAATTTCGGAGTGTTTGGGGTTTAGGGGCTTCGGGTGTTAGGGTTTAGGGTTTAGGGCCTGACTTCAGGTCTGAATCCGGCTTTCGGGGGGTTTGGCGACCCAAAACCCCAAACCGAAAGCCCTAAACTCCAAATCGCCCTGCCGTGAACTTTCGGTCTGACCTATGCCGCTTTCTTTCTCAGGGTGGAGCTTCAGAGTGTCTCAACCCCGAACCCCTTCAGCCCTGAACCTCAAACCTGTTTCCCTAAACCCTACTTGGAGGCCCTGTTGACTTAGTAAGTCTACTTAGTATCCCCTAGAAACCCCATTATAATCCCCATAACCCACCTTACTAACCCTACTTACTAAGTCAAAAGGGCCTCCAAGTAAGCCACCAGTGTTTCGCAAGAAACTGAGGAACTTTGGCATGCTCGCCTTCAATGCAAGCGCCAAGGCGGGATGAAGGGGGATGGGGGGTGGGGGTTGGCATTCTTGAGTTTGGATTATGATAGGGTTTAGGGTTTTAGGGCTTAGGTTGAGCGGGTTAGGGTTGGTTTAAGGTACGGGGTCTACTGTAGGGGGTACTGAAAATCACCGTGACGACTCTGGCAAGAAGAAAGTGCATCATGAAGACAAGTAGAAGCTGATCCGTAGTCCCTCGCCAGCGGCAAGTGCTTATACATGTCAACAGCCAGCTCAACGAAGAAGAATGAGTCTTATGGGAGATGGTTTTCGGTTTTGCATTTGGGCTTTGGCTTTCAGGTTTTGGTCTCAATCTCCGAAGGGTTTAGACCGGAAAGGGTTTCGGCTACGAGGGGTTGCGAAAAGAGTTCTAAGTGATTACCGCAAGGTGTGAGTTTAGGGTAGTATTGAGTACATGGTTGCCCTGAGAGATAATTTCTTCCAAGCGCGAGGCCTGCATGACACCTGCGAGCCAGTTGGCGAAGTTTCTCTTCGGTGAAACAGCCCAAGATAAAACCAGGAAACACCTAGTCCTTATCGGGGCCTGGCAAATTAGAAATCTATTCCTTAGGCCCAGCAGCAAATACATGTCTACAGTCGAAAAGCTCGAAAAGAATCACAACCGCCCAGCCTAAGTGTCCGATAGTCGAACATTTGCAGGACGCGCTCGGCAACATGGGAGTCTCAGGCACGAGACACATTGTCCTGGGAGGGTTCAATATAGCAGTCCAAAAACATTGTTACCTTATAGTCCGGCTGTGGTCATCGTATCGTTGAACCATATAGAACTCGGAAACCCCAGTCTACTCCTTAAGGCCTCCAGATCATCGCGGCATACCTGTTGGTAAGTCGCTGGCCTCTAGCCCCCGGATCTATGCGCCGAGGCCCTTCGCCACATGATAGATTCTGATAGATGCTACTATTTGCTTAAGAACCCCCAAATAAAAAATGTATTCCTAATGGTGGTAATATAGGGATTATTTTTTTATTTTTGGGTGTTTCTTAAGCAAATAGTAGGATGTGGTCTGTGCATTGTCGATTCAGGGCTTAAGTCCCTTGGGCTTAGGGGTTTAGGGATATTTAGGGGTTCAGGGTTTAGGGTTGAGGGGTTCAGGGTTTAGGGTTTAGGGGTTCAGGGTTTAGGGGTTTAGGGTTTAGGGTTTAGGGGTTTACGGTTTGGGGTGTAGGGTTTAGGGGTTTAGGGTCAGTTCCTCGGCTGAATGCAAGCCTCTAAGAATCCTCCATGGCTGCTTGGACCCTGTGGTTCGGGGGCATCCCGTTCAAGAATTAGACAGCCCCTTACAGGGCCTTATACGGGTTTTACAGGGTTCTGCAATGGTCTTCGATGGGGTAAAGCCATCTTTCTCATTCCATCAGCACCTTGAAACCCCAAGCCTCGCACACTGAACTCTAGAACCCTAGCCCTAGACCTCGCCTTCACCCCAAGTAACCTACCTTGGTCTTAGGGACCTATAGATATAAGGAAATCACAATGAGGAATCCTAAACAGGTAGGGAATCCATGCACTGAAGCCTGAGCGAAAGACTGCAAAATCTGGAACCACCCCGAAAAGGCTCAGAAGTTCGGGCTTTGGAAGCTTAGGGTTTGCCTGGGGTTTGGGAATTCTGTTGGCAGGATATCTATGAAGTAGGAAAAGAATGTCGGGATAAAGATATGGCCAATGGAACACGCAACGGTGATTAACGCAGTCGATACTACTACTGGTGTTGAGAGTACTTAAAGGAACATGGGCCTGAGTAACTGGGCTTATAAGTAAGGTAACTATACTTATAATTACTTATTACCCTAAACCCTAAACCCTAAACCACTTATAACCCCAATTAAGGTGCTTATAACCTTACTTACTAAGTCCCATGATCCTCCAAGTAGGAGAGCACTGCAGCGGCATTCTTAAATACGGTTGATGATATAAATCCCTAGGGCTCGCTTAAAGGGATCTATAGGGACACCTTTAAGGGCTTCCTTTAAGGGATCTATAGGGTTTAGGGTTTAGGGTTGATGATATAAATCCTGCATTACCTTAAGGACCCTAGACTATGGGAATTATGGAATATATTCCTTATTATGGGTAGTGCAGGATTTATATCATCAACACTACCCTACAAACTCCTTACCCCCTCAGTCCTTACGGGCGCTAAACACAGTCCTGCAGCCACAAATCCTCAAACCCTAGAACCCCTGAACCTTAAATGCTAAACCACTAACCCAGGCAGGCAAAGAGACCGTCAACCCAACCTTAAAAACACGCATAAACCCGAAACCCTAGCCCCTAAACCCTTACCCCAAAACCTAAATCCAAGCCTCAGGTGCACCCCAGGTCTTCGGTGCGTCTGCCATTGCCGGCTTCTTCGCCTCCTTCTTTTCCTTGCCCTTCGACTTCGTTGCTCGGCACCAGGATTTGGGGTTTAGGGTCTGCTTGATCTTCAACTTTGTTGCTCGACGATGTGAGGTTAAGGTTGTAGGTTGTGTTTTGGAGTCGTGGCTGTGAAGGTTTAGTGTGGTTTCGTGGGTTACTACAGAGCTGCCTAGGGGCTTGTTGGTCACGATTCTTGAACCTGGTTGTCCCGCTATTCAATTCTGGGCTCACAAATCTTAGGTAGAGCCCTGAAACCAAAAGAAGTCCCGAACACAATGGAGGTCACTAAGATTGACATGCGAGCGAGATGGAGGTTCGAATCCATGGGTGTGCAGTCTTAAAAATTACCGCTGTGCCGCGATTCGCTCGCATGTTCCATAGAAGCATCAGAAACCTAGGACCTAGAGTAGGCCCTTATTCCCTTTGTTTAGGGTTCAGGTTCCCTTATAAGCCCCTTTAAGCCAAAAAGGGCACCCTTTTTATTCCTAGGTTACGCTTGGGTCTACTTAATTACAAACCTAGAACATCAAGTCGCCGACACAGTCTTCTCATAGTACGTTTTCGAAGAAGACAGCAAATTATGCTTGAAGCTGTTCTTCTCCAGTAGGATGCAGCGAGATGCAGCACTTCAAACTCATCTTAAAGCTTGTCTAGGTTGCCCTTTAACGGAACCCGAAAATCCAATAGAGCTTGTCGGCTTTTCTCTGTGGAAGCTGTCCGCAGTTTGTGTGCCGTTGCAGCTACGAGGGCAAAAGTCTCTTGGAAGTGGGGTCTCTTCGGGGCACTGAACCATGAAGCACTATAAGTTGGGTACTGCCCCCACTCAGTAACAGTGGGATAATATTCATAATATAGATATATTAGGACCTTAATAGTAGCTCTTTTATAGACTCTTATGCATGGGGGCAGTAGCCAAACTATAAGTGTTAACAAAGGGATAGACAATATCTAGTCACTCATCACGATTGCACCACCATGGAGATCGTTCACCACTACCGCTTCGGGTACTGAAGCGCTGTTCTTAGTCCCTAGGCCCTAGATCAAGCTCTGAAGTCCTAAAGCCGCAACCCAGAACCGGTTGAGGGTTTAGGGCCAGACCTCAGCGCCGTAAACTCTGAGCCCAGAGCCCGGAAACTTAAGCCCAAAGTTCGAAAGCCGGGCCTAGCGTGACATCTTCAGGTGAAGACGCAGATGCAAAAGCAGAAGAAAGACCCGGTCCTTCGGCGGCGAGTCGATTGAGATTCTGATTCTTTACAGTTGAGGCTTCAGGGTGCAAGGTTTGGGGGATACTTGTAGTATCCTTAAGGGAGGGGGGTCCAAGGGGGGTATATAGCCTAGTGATCCCTAATTCTCCCTAGTACTCCCTAAGGTTCCCTTACAGTCCCCTAAGGATTCCTTATACCCTCCCCCCTTGAACCACCCTCCATTAAGGATCCTATAAGATACGGTCCCACAGGGCACCGGTCGTTTTGCTGCCATGGTTTCATGTGCCTACCCCTTGATCCTAGGCATCTACATATTAAGGCTTTTGGGCCCAAAGACCCCACTATATAAGGCTTTGGGGCTATTTTGATGCCCAGGGTAAGGCCCTTCAAACCCCTAAACCCTCAAACCCGAAAACCGCTTTCGGAGGGGAACCCAGAGACTCCAATATCCCTTGACTAAGGAATATACCTTAAACTATATTAGGGATCCTACTATAATTTGAGGTATATTCCTTAATTAAGGGATATTGGAGTCTCTGGGAAGTAGGGGGCAGGGTTCCTTCAGCCGGGGCTCAGCTCAAAGAGTCATTCCTGCATGTGGGAGTTAGGATTAGGGTTTAGGATTAGGGTTTAGGGTCTAGGGTTTAGGGTTTAGGGATTAGGGTTTAGGGTTTAGGGTTTAGGATTAGGGGGACCCTCGGGGATATAGACCCTCTCAATAAGGTCCCTTTTAAGAAAGCCAAAAGTAGGGTTCGGAAGGGGTACCCTTTAAGGGGTCTCCCTCATCATCCTACCCAGCATGGATCGCGGGTTGCATGTCAGCCACTTCCAGCTTTTAGGGTTTAGGGTATCTGAATATCTAGTAGTACTGTCTTTTTGATTTCGTTTAACATAATTTTAGTATAGAGCGCCCGAAGACGTATTGAAACGCTGACGCATTGCCCAAATATGCTGCATAGTCGCACCCCTGGAGTTGCAAAAGAGGCCTCCACGTCGGAATAGGTACACAATGAACATGACAAACTCTCTTCCAGCCTGCTGAGGTTTAGGGGTTTAGGTGTAGTTTTATTTTGCGGTTTCGGGTATTGGTAGGGATTGGAGTTTTTACTGTAGATTTTACAATTCTACTGTTTAGGCTTTATATATGTATATATGTATATATACACGTTTTATCATCCGACGAGAGTACCTATCACTTGTCCTGAGGCCTACTCTCTGGGTTTCTCCGGTGTCAGATAGGAAGCGAGGAAGCTCGTGGCAATCGTTCGTGCCGTGGGGTTTGCGAGTTTAGGATATGCGACATGTAGTGGAGTATGTACATATACACATACACATGCGCATGCGCATGCACATATGGATATATATATATATATATACACACACATACACATGCATACGAAGTACCAGTGAATGAAACAACATGTGTTTGAAAGCTCATGATGATGCTGGTAATAATAGCAGGCATTAATAAGAATGACAACAACGACACTAACAATGGTACATTAGCAACATGAACTCGAATGTTCATGATAAATAATCACCGTACTCACAATATTTTTAAGAATACATTTTAATATAACCGTGTAACAGTTGCATCCAGAACTATAGCTATAACTTCAGCTGTAGGTATAACTATTACTTCAAGTATAATTGCAACAACAATATTGCCAATAATGACTACGATGTCATTCGTAAGCAACACACTACAGGTAAGAAACAGAAATATGATGACGACGACTAAGAGACTCACGGCTCCACCTCCGCCAAGGTCACCGGCGAGCTCCCTTTCAAGAGCTCCATGGACCTTCCAGGGCTCTTTAACTTACTCACGACACTATACTTTTTACTTATTAACAACTTATTACACTATGCTTCGTACTTGCTGTACTATACTTTTTACCTACCATACTGTACTGTTGTTAAGGGACAGTAAGAAACAGTGCTTGTTATGATTCCAGGGCTCTCTAATTTGCCCGGCGATGAGGGAGTCGACCCTTTTGGGGTTTAGGCTTTCGAGGTGTCGGGCTTTTAGTTTAGAGTTTAGGAATAATTGAGGGTTTAGGGTATTGTTTCAGGGTTTATAGTTTAGATGTCTTCAGGCTTCAGGGTGTGTTTTGCGCGCGCGTGTGTGTGTGTGTATGTGTTTGTGTATTCAATCTTCAGTGCATGTTCTGGCTTTTTCTGGGCTTTGGGCATTATTGCCTCGTGGTGATCTAATTTCCTGCCCTGTTTTTGCGCGAATTTGGGGTTTCAACGTACCTGCTGCCGGGTTATACTATCCGGGACCCTTGAAGGTTTACCGTGGCGTTCTCAAGTGCCTTCGAATCACAATAGGCTTTTGGGTGAGGATACTTGTAATGGTTAGTTTATATTCAGGGGAGTATACCATTACTCTACTTGGACGGTCGAGGGACTTAGTAAGTAGGTAGTAAGTAGACTTATAAGTCACCTAAAAGGGACCCTAATTGGGGTTATGGCACTTAAAAGTATGTTAAAAGGGCTATGCCAAGACATCCGGAGTTTGGCATCCAGTCATTGGAGACACTCCCATGCTTCCTGGAAGTTGAGCTTAAGTCCCGGCACCTCCACTTCCCTGCCTAGCATTCCTGCGGGGTTTGTGGTAGTTTCGTAAAACCCGAAACCCTAAACCCCAAACCCCTAAACCCTAAACCGTAAACCCTTTCTTCAGAATGGAGATCTGCATGCTTGAGGGATGTTCGAGGTTTTGTCCGGCTATGGTGGCAGGATTGCGCCATGAAGATCATGGCCGAAGGCGGCCCCCTGCGTTTCTACGCGGCTCGGCATCATGGTGGTCTAGGGTTGAGGGTCGCAATAGACCCTGAATCCCAGCAGCCCCTGACGGCAAGCCCTCCAGGAAGGGACCCCATGTGTTCATTCGGCCTCATTCCATTCCTCAGACGTCTTGAGTTGTTTCTTTGAAACGCAGTTGTCTTCCGCAACAGGCACTTTAACATAAACCCTATAAGCCCTAAACCCTATAGCCTAAACCCTAAGCCCTAAAAAATAAAAAAAGAAAAGCCTAAACCTCAGGCCTTCTCAAATCCTTTTTTCCGGTCCAAAGCCCCATTTCAACGGGAGAGCGCCGTGGGGGAAGAGTTCAGGGCCTCAGCAGTCCGGTCCCCGTCGCCCTGTCTTTAGGGCTTAAGGGTTATAGGGGGTTTAGGGTTTAGGGCTTAAGGGTTTTAGGATGTTTTCAGGGCTTAAGGGTTTTAGGGTTTAGGATGTTTTAGGGTTCAGGGTTTTAGGGTTAAGGGTTTTAGGGTTCAGGGTTTTCAGGGTTTTAGGGTTGAAGGGTTTTGGGGTTGAAGGGTTTTAGGGTTGAGGGTTTTGGGGCTTTAGGGTTTAGGAGTTTAAGGTTTAGGGTTCCCTTAAACCGAGATCCCGAAAAGCGCGCTGCAACAGGGGCTGCTTCTAGCAAGGGTGGAAGTGCTTTAAAGATAGCGGCTGCAACGGCAACCGTAAATTCTGCTCTCAAGCATGAAACCCAACTTATCTTGCGGCCGAAAACGTAAAAAATGAAGAAGACACGAAAGGTTCATCCGAAACTCGAAAGCCAGAGACCCGAAAGCCGAAACTGCCTCTAAACCCTACCTGAATCCCCTTGAACCTCCTTTGTAGGGCTCTTTAGGGCTACTTCCTTACAGAAGCCGTTAGAGAGCCCTTAAACCCCAAACCCCTAAACCCTCTTTTCAGCAAAGCCTAAGCCAGAAAATCCCAAAGCCCCACCTACAAACCCCCAAACCTCTAAAAAATCATTAAAACTCCAAAAACTTTAGAACATACAACACCAGGCCGGCTTCCCCACGTATTATGTCCGGATTGCGCCCCACGCCATGCTCACGCTCATTGCACAGGCAAGGGTGTTCGGGCTTTAGGGGGTTTGGGGTTTAGGTTTAGGCTAATGGCTTGGGGGTGTTCGGGCTTTAGGGGGTTGGGCTTAGGATTGAAACAGGGCTTTATGGCTTGGGGGTGTTCCGGCTTTAGGTTTAGGGTTTCGGGTTTTTGTGTTCAGGGTTTGGGTTCTGGGCTTTAGGGGTTTGGGGTTTAGTTCTTGGGTTCACAGTTGTTGTGATTTATGTGTTCAGAGTTTGGGTTTTTGTGCTTATGGCATTTGTGGCTTAGGGGTTTGGAGGTTTGGGTATATAGGAGTTTCAATCTTTTGGAGTTTCAGGGTTCTGAGGGTTTCTGAGTTGGAAGGGTTTAGGGTTGCTGTTCGATGTAGGCGGGCTTTTTCACGCACGTCTCGCGCGAGCACGGGATGCTCCAAATTTGAGGATGCGGCGGTCCCCGCGATATTTCCAGGTGACGTGATCCATTGTCTCATTTCCTGGTGGGGGACTGCTCAGCTGGAGAAGTCGCTATACGACGGCAACAGCCATCTTACGTACTTGGGACTGACAGCTCTTCAAGCTAATGCGGCCATTCGTGAGTGACACCGGCAGCGACATCGACTTTGATCTGGGAGGTGCGCACAAAGTCGCATCGTCGCAGATGTCCTTCATGATTCTGGAGGATGACAGGTTGGCCGTCTTCAGATCATCCTTAAAGCCAGCGGGTTTCTGGTCCTCAGGTTTCAGGCTGCTCTCCTAACCCTTTTGTGCCTGCGTTTAGGCAAAGAATTAGGTTTCAAGGTTTGGGCGTGGGCTCAGGTTCAGGGTTTAAGGATTTAGGGGTGTGCAGGGCGTTTTGGTTTGAAATGATGTCGACTGATCTCAAGGTTTTGGGAGTCGGCATCCACCGTGTAGAGTCTAAGACCCTATCATGATTCAGGAGTACTTGAGGTTCATGGGTAGTTTTAAGTCGGGTTATAAGTCCCCTGATATGGGTTATAAGTATAGTTACCCCACTTATCACCCTACTTATAACTAACCATGAACCTCCAAGTACTTGTTCAGTCTGACCCGGGCGATGGACCAAAGCTTCTTTTTGAAACGACGAGTTTGGTTCGTACTTGGACTTCGCAGTAGCAAGCCAGGTCAATTCAATTCCTTTCCGCGCGAAGAGAACAATAATATCATCAGCCTAGCCCCAAACCCTAACCCTAAACCCCAAACCGTCTTCGGCTCTTAGCCCTAATCCAGAACCTTCAACCCCAAACCCTAAAGGCCGCCGAGCCCGAAACCCTTAACCTTAATGGACCCTACCTTAAACCACCAAACCCTACTTTGTTGTAGGTTCGTATTATAAACCCTAATATGGAATCCTAGGGACCCTACAAAAAAGTAGGTTTTGGTAGGTTCAGGTAGTTAAAGTTGAAACCCTGATTAAACCCAAAAGGGCCCCAGACCTGAACCCACTTAGACCCCCCAACCACCCTGCATTCTACCCTAAACACCCACGTTCAAGGACCATAAGGGTTCCATTAAATGTAGTTGGGGGAACCCAAAGGAACCTTAAGCCTGACAAAATGAAAAAAACCCTAAACCCTAAACCCAAAACCCCTAAACCCTAAACCCTTAACCTGAGACCCAAGACCTTAAGCTGTAGCAGCCTCTGAGTTTCAGGAGGATGGCTGAGGCTCTTTCTGGCATTCACGGCGCCCTGAGCCGTAAGCTTCCCCAAGCCCCTAGCTGTAGCCGCTAAATTACATGGATAGCGTTTTAGACTTCCTTGTCAGGGTTTCATTACACCCTAAGCCCAAACCCTAAACCCTCCAAATCAGGACTTCATCAAGAAGAGCTGGTCGCAAGTCGGGCTGTCACTGGACTTCAAGATCCGATCCGTCTCAGCATTCCTTCGGGGTTGAGGGCTGTGGATCCAAAAAATCCACTGTTTTGAGGCTCCGGCGCTCTAATTAAGGATCGCAAGCTACTGCTTGCAGGCTTTAAGGCGACTGACCGGGTTCCGGGCTGACTAAACCATATCATACTCTGTGGTGCAATTTACCAACATAGTCGGTTCTTGGTAGATATTTGGGCCCCCAAAGTATACACGATACTATACTATACTAGACTATACAGTACTGTTAATTACTTGGACCCTTCCGAGAAATACTTCCCTGCAGCGGCTCGATTAGCAGGTTCCGGGGAGGCTTCGGGACCACTGTCCAAGAGTACCTTGGGACACAGCAGTGTTGTCCTAAGCAGTTTCGGATGCATCAGCGTGTGGGTTTGGCTTAGTGTTGATACCACGTGGAAAACACACGTCGGTTTCGGGCCGTGTCTCCTACCCTGAACCTTAGAAGCTGCCCCCACCCTGTTTTTGTGGTATAATAGGAATATAATAGGGCCCTAATATAATCCTCTAAACCCCACAACAACAGAATCCTGAAGCCGGAGTCCAGGCACCACTCGCCCGAACCCCGCAAGCCACGACCCCAATCACGAAGCCCTCCGGGTTTAGGGTTTACTTGTAGTCTCCATTGTGTTTCCCTAAGGGTCCATGTACCCATATAGAGATACATGAGCCCCAAAGTACCTATATAGGGACTACATCAAGGCCAATGTATATAGGAGTACATGGACCCTTAGGGTTTTGGTAAAACCCAGTTTTATAGTTAGGATTATATAGGTAAGCCAAAAAAGGAACTACAATGGAGACTCTAGGTACATTTTATTTATAGGTAGGATTATATGGGGTAACCCAAAACAGGAACTAGAATGGGAGACTACAGTACCCTAAACCCTTACAATGGAGCCTCTACTGTAGGTAGGGCCCGGCACCCCCTGAGACAACCCCTACTTGGGTCGGGGGACTTAGTAACTTGGTTATTTTGGGGACTTATAAGTACCATAAGCCAATTAGGGTCCCTTTTAGGGTACTTATAAGTCTACCTACTACCTACTTACTAAGTCCCCCGACCCTCCAAGTAAACCCTAAAGACCCTCCTAGGTGAGAGCCTGGCAAGATGTTCCCGGCGCAGAGTGGCTTGCTTTTGGGGCACCGGGCTACGTTGAAGTCCGAAATTCCTCACACTTGATGGCTTTTGCATTTGCAGAGGAGAATGAACCATGTCTCTGATTCCGAAAGTGCCCCATGGAACAGAGTTCAGCAAGTATCATAGACGCGCTTGGGCCTGAGTGGCAGTATCAAGCGCGCCGGGGAGGCTGCGCAAAGAAGGTCCGCTTTTGCAAGCGCGGATCCCCCTTGCAGTTTTAAGGACCCCAGCAACAGCTGCCGACCACTGACGGACTGTTACGATCTGTTTGTGTGCAGGTCAGTAAGGAGACCTTAAATCTGGAATCTTAAACCTGACCATGCGGATCTCTCCTATGTTGCTGTTGGTGTTGTACGCAGCAGAAGGTGGTTCGGAGCTGACTTCGTTTCCGTGTCTGTGTAGGATCCGGGCTGCCGTCCACCCGTCTTCAGATCCCGCATCAACGCATGTGCAAACTTGATGGCCAGAATTTGTGGATCGCTAGAGCCGGGCTGCACAAATCGAAACAATACCCGAAGTGTCCAAGTACCTAATAATCATATACTCTCCCAAATATGAACCTACATTTCCAGTATAGACTATCCTAAACCCAAGTACTCTACCTCATTAGTACTATAGGTACTCAGTCCCTAAGATTAAGACCGTAATTATCCCAGAAGCCTCAGCTCGAACTCATTTGGAATGTTCTAGGTACCCAGAGATTCCATCCAATATCCCTTAATTAGGAAACGTACCTGAAAATGTAGTAGGATCCTTAATACGGTTTAATATATATATATATATATATATATATATTCCTTACTTAAGGGGTATTGGGATCTCTAGGTAACCTTGCAGTAAGCAACGCACGTGGAAAGGATGGAGTTGAGCAACCCCCCGCTTGCAAAGCTGACGTGGTTTCTTCAGGCTTCGAGGACACGCATGCACACACACACAAACACAACACAGGCACTTGCTTACTTACTTGCGCAGTTTTGAACACTCAGAAGAGACGGGTCTGCGGTGCGTAGCACCTCTTGGTTACCAGAATCATGCGAAAGCAGCTGCAAAATGGCGAATGGGGTTTAGGGTCGAAGCTACAGGAGCTCCTCCTTTAACTGTACAGTGTAGTTCCTTTTTGGTTTGGTTAAACCAAAAACAGGAAACACAATGGAGACTACAGGTACTATATTCATCCGTTTGTAGAACCCTGGGTAACGCTGGCACGATGAACTCTCAGGCTCCTCGTGATCCTTTCGGGTGTACCTATAGTCTCCATTGTAGTTCCTTTTTGGGGTTACCTTTTAGGATCCTTAGTATAAAAATGGTTAAACCAAAAAAAGGAACTACAATGGAGACTATAGGTAGGGTTCAGCTTTCTGGGAATTTTAGGTCTGGGGGTTCGGCCTCAGCTTTCTGGTTTTACTTGGAGGTACACGGGTGGTTATCAGTAGGGTTATAAGTAGGGTAACTATACTTATAACCTGTATTAGGGGACTTATGACCCCACTTATAACCCATGAACCTCCAAGTAGAGTTGCAATAGAATAAGGCATGGTAAACCTGGTCTGTGTCTGATCTGGGTTGACAGAGGTTCGAACAATCCAAGACAGTGATTTTCTCTGGCTACGCGATATCTCGTGCTCCTGCTCCTCTTCCCACTCCTATATTCTACGACTACCGCGACGACGATTGCTACTATCACTAGTACTACTGCTACCGCCACCACCACTGTTGCTGGTGCTGCTACTACTACCAAATATTGTAATATTAATAATAACAATGCGACGACTACGACTACTAAACTAGACCTACCACATCGAATTTCACCCAATGTCTCCATGCTCACGTTCATTTGCATCATCAGGCGGTGTGCATTGGCGTGCATTGTGTCGCAAGTTATCCCTAAACCCTGAACCCTAAACCCAACCCAGAGCATCCAAGTATTTACTCCCTATTATAAGACTTTCGGGCATTTTTAGGTATCAAAACAAGAGCAACTTGACCCCTTAGAGCAGCGCAAAGCATACGAGGTTCGGGCTTTCCGACGCCACTGCTTTGCGCTTTGGCACCGTGGAGCGAGTGTAGTGATTCGGGACTACGGCGGCTAGGGAGTCGGATTTGGATTCGGAGTTTAGGGTTTAGGGTTTAGGGTTTAGGGTTTAGGGTGGAAAGGGTCGGGAGGGAGAGATGGACACCGATATCGTCATCTAGCCAGTTTAGAGTTCACGGGTTAGGAGGTTCAGAGTTTAGATTTCTGGCGAATACTCACAGCGGGATTGATCCATCACGGGTTAAGGTAGGGGCGGAAGAACTACTAATATTATTTCTTATTCCTTAGGGTACGGTGGGCCCGTTTTCCCTTGTTGATTAGGCTCCTTAAAAGAAAATAGTTACCCAAAACCAAGAAGAGAGCCCCAATTGTTCCGAGGTTACGGTTACTGGGGATCCTAGAATGCCAACCCAGAGACCCGACTCTCCCTTAATTGAGGAATACCTAGGGACCCAGGGTTCCTGAAAGGGATCTATGGGGTGTAGGGTTTAGGGTACCCAGAGACTGCGATGTCGCTTAACTAAGGAACATGCCGTAAACTGTAGTAGGACTCCTGATATGATTGAAGGTATATTCCTTCATTAAGGGATACTGGAGTACCTGGGTACCCTAAACCCTATAGATCCCTTATGGATCCCGTTACAGGAACCCCAATTCCTTAGGTATTCCTTACTTAAGTGATACTGGAGTCTCTGGGTTAGGCCTCTGCGTTACGCGGTGTGGTATGCAGGCTTTCAAAGGGCAAAACGAGGGACCCTTAATGGGGACCCCTACCCTGTAATGGGCTATATAATGGGCTATATAATGGCTATATTACGGGTATATACCTACTGTTGATGATATAAATCCTGCATTACCCACAGTAAGGAATATAACATAATTCCCATAGTCTAGGGTCCTTACGGTAAGGCAGGAGTTCTATCATCAACCCTAAACCCTAAACCCTATAGATCCCTTAAAGGAAGCCCTTAAAGGTATCCCTATAGATCCTTTAAATCAACCGTATAGGGGTCCTTATTAAGGGTCCCTCCTTTTCCCCTTGGATTGTAGTATCCTTAAGGGAGGGGGGTCCAAGGGGGGTATATAGCCTAGTGATCCCTAATTCTCCCTAGTACTCCCTAAGGTTCCCTTACAGTCCCCTAAGGATTCCTGGAACCCTCCCCCCTTGAACCACCCTCCCTTAAGGATCCTATAATTGGAGGCTTTGAGCTCCCGGAGATCGGTTTTTGAGCTTCGGGCTGAAGTCTCTGCGGTGCTCCTCTCGGGGCCGTAAGAATTAGAATGGGGGGCCTTTAAAGGGGGTTCCCTTTAAAGGGTTCCTATAAGGACTACTATAAGGGATCTATAAGGGTATACTCTAAGGGGTTCTATAATGTAAGAGGCCACAAGGGGTTTTAGCCTATGGCGGTTTAGTAGGGATTAGGGTTCCCATAATAGGGTTCATATTCAGGAATCCCTACCCCAAGAATCTTAAACCCCCCTTTGGGCCTCCCATGATTGGAAGGTTCCCTTTTTAAAAGGGTCTATAGGGCTAGTATAAGGGGGATTTTGGGGGCTTCATATATTGGGGCCTTCATGATTAGAATGGGGTTTTTGAGGGGGCATTCTCTACGGCAGCTATTACAAGGAACGCACCCGAATAGTTGAGTAATTCTCCAGGCCTTCATATTAGAAGATTTGGTGGTCGTCAGTTCAGGTATGTGAGGAATTAGGGTTTAGAGGTGCTGCTTGGTGTAGAACTTAAGAAACCCTAAATCCCTCGGAACCCTATAGAACTTGAAAACAATAATCCAGGAACCTTTAATCCCTTAAACCCTCGTCCCTTGCCCTGATGCTCAAAACGCGACTCATAAGCCTGTAAACCAAGAAGCAACATCAAAATGAACTTCATCCTTCAAAGGAGCCCTTAAAAGGAAATCTAAACGTTATCCTGTAAAGGAACCCTTGAAGGAACTCTAAGCAAAGGTGTGCGGGGCATTGCCCTAAGTCGCGAGCAGCTTCGTGCGAAGGCTGACGGCTGATACATGGGGTAGGGGTTAGGGGGTTGGGGTTTAGGCTTTAGGGCTTAGTGTTACCTAAGCCCCCAACAGTATAGGTAAAGTGTCCAACATCTACAAAAGGCCTATGTTCTGCAAATTGTGGGCCCAGGTAGGGTTTAGGGTTTTTGACCTATAGCCCAAGCACTAAGCACTGCTTAGCAGGGTTCAGGGCGTCATCAGATTCCCGGAGCTCCGCGGGTCTCTTGGGTGGCCTAACCACCATATGCTAAACCCGAAACCCCAAACCTTAAACCCTTAACCCTCAAGGGCTGCATTCGGCCAATCTCCAAGTGCTCCCCACCCAGTCTTTCTGCGAGATGGATATGGTCTACAAGCAGGCCTGTGTGGGAAGCTAGAAAAGGGCTTTACGGTTTTGGGTTTGGAGCTCAAGAAATCTCCTAGAATGTAGAGTCGAGGGTTGGGAAGTTGAGGCCAAGAACTGTAACTTGGGGGTTGGGACAGGAAGACACACTCATAACACCATCAAGGACGATGCTTTTTGGGGGCCCTTCCCCTTTGAACCCGAAACCCTACTAAAACCCTGTAAGCCTTAACCTGTGCCTTCCCGATTCACATGCCAAAACAGCACGAAGCTCACTCAACTCAGACATTGCGCGATAGAATTCTGGGGGCGTCGAGGCTCGAAGTGTCATAGCCATGGCACCAGAGTAGGTTTCATCCTGTCCGGAAGCACCTCCACCTTCTGCCGCGAGCCATGCCAGAAGCTGTTGTCCCTGAACCTCGTAGCCTCGTATACATCTTGCTCTTAGAAAGAGTGGAACTCATGCGTATCCTTCCTCCGTGCATAATAAGAGCCCGCAGAAAATGAGGTTATGGTAATTGAATGTAAATCGGTAAAGCCACAACCACTCCCCCCCACCGACCCC